AACAAGACAAAAGATATACAGAGAAATACCGCAATGGACACAGCCAGCCTGCTGCATGTGCTTCCTGCGACCAAAGCCACAAAGGAAAGCTTCCCGTGCTTCAGCACTGGACCTGACATCAGCAAGGTAGTGAATAACCAGGCTGGAGATCCCTTCCCACTGCTGGGGAAACTTAACCCTATCTTAGCTGAACGAGGACAACATGAAAAATGAGAACATGGACAGAATTGAAGGATGCAATCTACAGCTGCTTGTAAATTGACTGATTCAGAATTTCCAGTTAAAAAATTCATGTCAATTTACAGTTCCAGAATGTATCTAGAATCCAAAATGACAGTCCTCTAAAGGCATTTTTTTGCTGGTGCTTTGTCTCTTTGTGCTATCTCAGCAGTGTAGTACCATGTGAACTCTTCAGTTCTATTACAAAATCATAGAACAGCCCAAGTTGGAACAAACCTCAAAAGATCATCTCTGGTCTAACATTTTGTGGGAAAGGGAGCCTAGATGAGATTATCTAGTATTACAATCCATCTTGTTGATTTGTACTTTGCTCATTTTCTGGCACTTATACTTGCATTTCATTCCTTTTAGGAAAAGTTGTTTAAAAAGCTGACCAAAGTAATTACTTGGGAGTTGAAGCATGCAGCCAGACTGTAGAATAGGGATAGTTGTTGGGTCCTGGTAACATGGGCAAGACAGCCCCACAGAAGTAATTTTATGTGGAACTTAGCTTTCTCTCCATCAGAAAATTGCTAAGAGGAGCGACTGCTCAGAAGAGTAATATTTGTCACCCTTATTTTTCGTGTCGGGACCAAGGAGTTACCTTGAAGCTTGAAGGACATCAAAGAATTATTACAGTCATTAGACTCATAAGAGCTGGAGAGAGGAGACAGCTTGAAAAAAAACAGAGTTGATCTAGTGCTGAGGGCCATTTTGGATGTTGCATGCAGATACTTATTCTGGCTAGATAGCTGGGCAGTAGTTTGACCCATATCTGTCTGTGTTTTGTGCCTTTCTGTCTTTCTGTGCTTTTACCACTAATATCCTGATCTTAAAACCTGTTCTGTGTCAATAGATTTATTACACAAACCATCATTTATTGGCATAGCAGATAGCTCAAGTTACTAATGTATTTCACTTTCAAATGTTATAGATAAGATAGTTAATCCTTGAGAAGTTGTTTTAACTTTTTTTTATTACCAGCACATTGAATCAACTCAGGTTTTATAGTGATTATATTGATAATGCTTGTAGAGTAATAAAGTATTGACTGTTCGTGTACTCTGGTGATTTAATCCTAGTATAATGTCCATTTTAACTCTTATTTCTTGTTGACTTTATAGCAAAAAAATTGCCCAAGAATGAACCACAGAATGCAGGAGCCAACTCTGCCAGAGGAAGAGGAGTAGACCTTACTGAACCCACACAACCACCCAAGAGTCAATGTTGTAGTAACTAAAACATCAATTGCTTTAAACTGTTCTGAATATTCTTCTGCTTCCTAACTGTTAATAACCATGGAATTGGAGTGCTTAACCTGGCCCAGTACATCTTCCAAACAGCGAAGAGACATGATAATAGTCAAGTTCATGATAGAGGTGTTGGGTTTTTTGTTTTTTTTACCTAAAATTTTAACATGCATGTATCCACCACTGGCTGTAACGTTTCAGCAGTAGAGGAGAGATGGAAGCGGAATAAACTTCCTTCAGTTGAAAGGTTTTAAAAATCACTTATTAGGGGTGTAGAAGAACTACTTTCCATGGACCTAATTGGCCAGTTCCTGTAGCCTCAATACTGGTTACTGTTATAATAATTAGAATTGGGACTTTTCATAATTCTCAATTGTGCTTTAAAACCTTTTTAGAAACAGGGTCTAAAAATTACTTAAACTTATTCACAGTATTGATGCAACCAGTTATTTCTGCAGGTATCTACTGTTTAGTTATACATTCCATAGTTTAATAATTTAATTACAAATAATACTTGCATTAACAATTTTAAGAATCCTATGCTTGCAGGAAGGTGGAGTTTTAGTTGGTACACTGTATGTAAATTATATCAGCCCTGCTAGTTATCTAAAGGAATTAGTGATAAAACAAGTTTAACTTAATTTCTAATCTGTTAAGAGGGTACAGACCAGTAAATTCAAGTTCATAATTTAGGATATTTTTTTCTCTGCAAACTGTAAGAGCTCTTCAAGTAAAACCACAAAAAACTCGGTGTCTGTGACTTCTTTCTTGTTTTTATCATTGCTGGCCATTACAGTCTGTTTTTCCCCTAAGGAAAAAAATAGTGCACTAACGATTCTGTACATCCAACTTGATTTTAAATTTGGATATTAATGTACTGTAAATAGGTACTCTGCATTGTAGTCTACATTTGTTTAATACTTTCTGTAATATTTAAGAGTTGCTTAAAGGTATACAGAATGTACAGTTACTTAAAGCTAACTTTTTTCCTCTCTAATCAAAGGGGGTTCTAAGTTCTTCCTTTATGGCTAGAACAGTAATAAATGATGCTCCTGTATCTGTAACATGAGTACTGCTGTCTGTCAGTAATGAACTTGCAACTTTGTTTTCCAAAGTACATTTTATTTTGATCTGTCCAGTATATTGCACTAATTCTTTTAGTTATTTTCATTATATGAAATCTACCAAGTGTGTCAAGAGATGAATTAGTCTATTTAAATGTTGAACTGATAGCAGAAACTTACTTGTGCAGATTTTAAATTTGCAGTAATCTGGGTTTAGCGAGGAAAACGACAGTTCACCAGTGTTTAGTTTTATATTGAGGTGCTCAGGTTTGAATAAAGTGGTTTAAAAAAAATATTTTTGATTACTGTTTCTTACTCAGTGTGGTGGTTTAGGCCCTGCTGGGACTGGAGACCATGTTGCCCTTGTCCGTCCCCCACCCTTGGACCGAGTAGGGCACAAACACTTCTAGTGGCTGAGACATCAGCTCGTACAGGTGGAATGTAAGACATGTCCTCTTCCATTTTCTGGACCCTATGAGACAGTTCCTCCACAGCTGAGACCCAGGAATGCTGAGATGAAGGGAGATTTCCCTCATATTGCCAGAGCTTGCCAACCACTCCATCCACTGTTAGAGTGTGGGTGTCTGTCCACCAGGACACTATTGCCAATGCTTTCAAGTGTGCTTCTGGTGCGCTCTTCAGGAACTTTTCCCACATCAGGTGTGTGCAAGGGGCCTGATCCGGGTCCATGGGTGACTGCTCATCATTCAGATCACCATAGATCATCTCAAACACAGCCAGTTCCCTGAGGCTCTGGATGCCCTTCTCAATGCTGGTTCATTTGCCTAGCTGACATAGGATATCATCCTTGTAAGGGTGCCTCTCCCTTACACTGAGCAGGAGTCACTTCCAAAGGCTGAGGGTTTGAGCCTGTTTCCCTGTCTCCCTATCAATGCCAGCATCCTTGGCTAAAGATCTCAGCTGCTTGGCCTCTCTCCCATCCATTTCAAAAGCACTGGCTCCATTGTCCCAGCATTGGAGCAGCCAGGTGCAAATCTGCTCATCTCCCAGGTGGCTGAAATCTTTCCACATATCTCACAGCTCAGTCCGAGATAGAGATCGGACGATCACCAATGGCCCTTCCTCCTGTTCCCGTGCTGGGCCTGGCTCATCCTCATCTTCCACTTTGCAAACTGACTTTCTGGTGTATTTTGTTTTCTGTATCGGGGCGACTGATACTGGCACTGGCTGGCTCTCTGGCTCAGTCGCTGTGCTGGTGGAGGTGACTGAGACTGGCTCTGCCTGTCCCCCTGGCCCAGCTGCTGTACCAGTAAGTTCACTCTCAGATCCTGCAGGTCTTTTTCCCCCCTGAGGGCAGTGGGTGGTATTAAAGAGGACACGGTAGGCATGGGCAAGTCCCCAACACATCGCAGCGAGTTGTGTCACCTGGGTTTTGCCAGCTTGGTAACACACCCTTTCTAAGCACTCCATCAGCTTATCAGGGCTCTGCATTTGTTCGAGAGTGAAATTCCAAAGCATTGGAGGTGACCACTGACTCAGGCATTTGCCCATCTTTTCCCACACCCCTTGCCACTCGCTATTATCTGACCTCGGGGCAGCTTTCTGGGTACTGCTATTGTTAGAGAAGAGCCGCATAGCCCAAAACAAGATCTGGCAGACACCCAGAAAGTATTGTGCCACAATCACACTGGCCTGGATGCTCCAAGGAGAACTGAAACTCTCAAAACCCGAGAGGATCTCTTCCCCTGGCTCACCCATAGAGGGGGTGAGACCCCTAACAAAAGCCCAGGCAGCAAATAAGTACTGGCCCACCCCTACCAACAGCGATACAAACACATTATAAGCAGCCAGTGGCCAGTATAGCAAAACAATCCCCTTTACACATTTTCCACTGACAACAAACACCAGCACTGGGAACATACAGTGAATGTAAGGATTAATCCAGCCCCACCATACAAGCAAGTGGGCCAGCATTGCAAACATTTTCTTATCAAACCATACAAATACAAACAGAAAAATTGCACCTAACAGATTGCTCTAACACACTCTGGTCAGGGCCTGTCCCTTTTTGATTCATATTTCAAACCAATTTGTGCCCCACATTGGGCGCCAAAAAGGCTGTGTTGGTTTAAGCCCTGCCAGGACCGGAGACCACATTGCCATTGTCCCTCCCCCACCCTCGGACTGAGTAGAGCACAAGCACCAGGGTTGAAATAAGGAAAGATTTAATACAACAGTGTAATAAATAACAACCTGAACAGCAACAATAGCAATAATAACAACAATAAACAGTAATAACAGTAAACAAGACAAAGAATATACAGAGAAATACCGCAATGGACACAGCCAGCCTGCCGCACTGCTTCCCACGACCAAAGCCACAAAGGAAAACTTCCCGTGCTGCCGGGCTGGACCTGACGTCAGCATGGTATGAATAACCCGGTTGGAGATCCCTTCCCTCTGCTGGGGAATCTTAACCCTATCCTAGCTGAACCAGGACACTGAGAGTTTCAGAAAGTTTTATTGCATTTGCACAGTTCCAGACAAGATGTCTGATTTATACAAGGGTCAGTGTTTAAGTTGATTACAAGTAAATTCATGACACAGCTATATATAAGGTTACTCTTGCACTCCAGTTATCCTACGATAAATTTTTAAGCTTTGAGGTAATTATCACATCCATTTAGAAGTACAGTCAAAATAGTTACGTTATCTCTTAAACCTGCAGCTAATGCAGCCTTTACCAGCTGTTCACTAACATAGCTTACTGCATTATCATAAGGTGCCTCAGAGGTGACCGTGCCTCTTCCTGCGGTTTGTGATTTGCAATTGGACTGGTATGTCTTTGTGTCCTCTTCAGGCTGTGGTGGTGGTTTAGAACCCACTGGTGATACAGTCTTTAGCAGTTCTTGATCAGTGTAACTTGCAGGTTTGTCACAAACTATCTTGGAGTCCATTTATTCTGTCAGTTGTGGTCCTGAGTCATCACTAGATAGGCATGCTTTTGTATCTTTTGGGAGCTGTTCCATGTCTTTAGACGCTATTGCCAGTACATTCTCTCGCAGCTGTTTATGGATGCAACTTGGACCTGGGGCACAGAAAGGGTCAGCGTATGTTTCTTCTTGCTCTGCAGTCTGTGACTGTGCCTGAACACTGTTACATGGATAAACGTTTATGTTCTCAAACCATTTCAGCTCTTTAGACCCACCTTGTGTGCTAGAATCGGACTGTTTTATCTCTCTATTCTGTGAATTTACTTCATTGTTACTGACAAGAGCCAGTTCTGGATCAGCTTGATTTTCTGGTCATCGGTTTCCTTAGGAGCTCCATCTTTACTTTGCACATAGTTGCTCCTAGAACATTTTGGCTTATTTTGTTTCAGGTTGCCTTTTGAGTCGGTGAAAAAAATGTCTTTACTGGAATAGAGGATCTCTCTTCCAACTTGCAGATCATTAGTAGACTTTGAGTCATTTAAGTTGTCTTCAGTGAGGGGCATCAAATACTGACACTTGTATGGAGAAGTCCTGTTTTGTTGAACACATTCATACATTCTCAAATAACAGGTGAATGCTGTGAAAGTTAATGCAAGTGCTTCATTGTAATCCAAAACCTCCCAGAGCCTGTTAGAAGCTAAAATAAGAAACTGACAAGTGTCATCGATAGGGACAGATACAGTATGAGGTACAAGTGTAACAGATCTCTTCAGTACTGGATCCCTGTGATGTCCAAGACCCCTTGTAGTTCTCAGGAACCCCTCTACTAATCTGTCTGGTTCATTAGTGCTGATGTTTCCACTGTTCTGAAGTACATGTTTTCTCTCACTTACGTTAGATGTGCTGTGCTCTTTTGAGAGTCAATTACTTTTTCCATTTTTACATAGGACTGCATTGTGGGAGACGCAGACACGCACACGACCAATATGATCAAGCAATGCCAATTTATTGAAGCTAAGCAAGCCCTTTATGAAGTTTTCTCCTGCCCTTTATGAAGTTTTCTCCTGTGCATGAGAACAGTACATGATACAATTCTTTATGATTGGATAGTTAACTTTGTTCATGCACTTTAAGCCTTCTTGCGATTGGATAATAAGCACCACATCAGCCTTGCTTAATGTCTTTCTCCACTCAACCCATTTCCTGGAGTTGTTTGTTTGTCAAGTTCTTTGTCCTTCCTTCAGGGTTATGTCCTTGTCATGTCCTTGCCGAGGCTGAGGCTCTTATCAGTGTTGCTCACATGGAGGATTGTTCACATGGCCATTATGTTGCAGAAAGTTCTCTAGGATCCCTACACTGCATGTACATTACCTAAAATTGAAGATAATATTTTCAATTATAGCATACCGTCTTTTTAAGATACTGCTTTTTGGTAAGGACTGGGAAAAAAACAGGTCATAGGTCAATGATCTACTGCCACAGGCAACAATACGTCCATCAATGAATCTGGTTCTATTTTACACTAAGTTTTCTGTGGTGTTTTTCCCTCTCCCATTATTCAGAAGACTATTCTAGAACCTTACTCTTCTGAGCACGTCAACACATAAATTTTTGGCTGTGTAGGTAAAAACACCCATTCTATAATCATAATCTGTCTGCTGTTGTCCTGTACATTGTCCTGCCCTTGCTCCCCCTTTTTTACCCACAGAGGAGAGCAAAAGGACTGGTGGAAAAGTTGATAACTAAGATAGAGAGAGGGCTGTCTGGCATGCAACACGAACTCCATTGAGAAGAAATTTTCTCTCAGATACGTGTTAAGGCTTCTTGTTGTGGTGGTGTACATGTACAGTGTTCGTTTACATCAGTACCTGACAGCCAGGGAGCAATATCGTCATTAGTAATGCCAACAATATTGTGAACCCATTGTAAAACTTCTAAGAGTTTCTGCACGTCGCTGAGTGTCTGAATGTTGGTATGAAGTTGCACCTTCTGTGGTTGTACTTGACTTCCAGTGATAATCCAGCCCAGGTATTTCCATGGCGCTGAACGTTATATCTTTTCAGAAGCTGTAACAAGATTTTTGCTGCGAAGCTGGTCAGTAATTTGCTGTAATTGCTTATCAGTAATTTCTTATTGCTGTGCAAAAACAATGTCGCCCATATAATGATAAATGATCATATTCAGATATTGAACATACACAGGATCTAAGGCCCATGCTTATATATAACTGACACAGGGTAGGAGAATTCTTCATTCCTTGTGGTAAAACTGTCCATTCAAAACGCTGATAGTGTGGCACCGTTGACTGCAGGTAGTGTGAAGGCAAAACATTGGGTATCTGTGACATGCAGTGGGATGCTAAAAAAACAGTCCTTTAAATCTATAATCAGAATAGACCAGCCAATTGGTATCATAGTAGGGGTTGGTAGTCCAGCCTGTATAAGCACCCTGTGCTGTTAACATATCCACTGTAACTGCATAAAAGGGGTGACTGGGATCTTGCTGATGTTTTTTCAATTCCACAGTGGCGAGCTGTTTCCACATTCTTTCCCACAGTAAATACTGGGATGGTGTCAGCAAAAGAGTAGCTACATTTTGACAGTCAGCAGGAGCCATTAAATCAGCAGTAAAGATATATTTTATAATGTTTCCGGCTGCTTCAGACTTTAAACCTTAAGTGACAACCACTTGTTTAGCTTGCTGCAAAATCTTCCAGTCATGCAGTTCCCATTTTCCCGTGCCATTCTGGATGATTACTGGGCAGGCAATGTTCCGGCCGTGTGTCAGTTCCCTTATAGGAGTGCATCTTTCATCACTCCAGACCGTCGGTGTTGTAAAGGATCAGCTCCAGAGGCTTGATAGGAGTTTGGTTGTACTGCACGGAAAGGAGCGTCGTTCTGCTGCAGCTGGTGGGGGCTGAGGAGGCGCTGAGGGGTGTTGGCGGAGGATTTCAATGTGTGTTCCTAGGGACCCACTGTGTGGTAGAAACAGGAGGGTTTGTATCCACATGTGATGGTCCAAGCAACTCTTCAAGTCTTCTTATCAACTGACGTATGGTTTAGTCAGTCTCTAGATTACTGTTCGGTGGCACCTTCATGGGCGTATTAGGTCTTGACATGGGATTAGATGACATAGAGGAGGAAGTAGGCAGACCCAAGGCAGGAAGGGGCGGCAACAACTTGGGGCGGCAACTTGATGCTCTAGTCCCCACCTCCTTTCCGTCTGAAACAGGCCCCTCCTTAGCTGCTTCTAACGTCTGTACTTCTGGTTTAGTTTCAGTCAGTTCTTTGACTTCACAGCGTTCATATCTGCCCTCTACTTGTGCATCAATCTTAGCTGCAGAAGACACTACCGAATCCGACATCCCATGAACAGCAAACACCGCTGAAGTAAACTCACAAACCCTCGCAGCACACCCTGGTTTCGATTTAGAAAAATCATTATTCTGCGTTTCTGGTTGCAATGCCTCCACAGCAGCTGCAGCAACCTTGCGTTCCACTTTTGTTTCGTTTAATGTATTAACCACATCCCGCCACATGAATCACAGTTCTTTTGCCTTTTTGCCAGCCTTTCCGCCTTCTATGGTGCTCCGCCACAACGCATCTCCCACTTCTCTCCATTCTTGGGGTTTGAAGAGCAAAGCAGGGATAAGGCAATATTCTTGTTTCTGAGCTCAATGAACCAAATCTGTTAAATTAACAAGACTCACATTGCTCTCTCTCTTACAATACTAGCAAGGAGTTGAATCGCTGCGTCCATTTCTAACGTCATCGCAGCTTACCTTCGCAGAGGACAACCTGGCCAGCGTTGTCTCCTACTCCAGAAGTACGTCTTTGCGTCCCACTCCTGGGTTACTCTGCGCCACTTCTACCCTGTCCGCCTTCTAGCACCACTGATTCCCTGGTCGATGCGTAGTTAAAAAGGGAGGCGTCCCTGTTCCCCTTCCAGCACCGCCAATCCCCTGGTCAATGCGGAGTTAAAAACGGAGGGGTCCCTGTTCGGCGCCATTTCTCGTGGTGGGGGTAGAGCTCGGGTAGCAAGCGTACACATCAATATGTTTTACAAACTTGTTCCAACTTTATTAGGCAACTGGCCAGTATGTATAACATAAACTTAGTACATGCAACAATCACGCACGCAATGACAACTCGTGATTGGTCCCTGAGTTCAGTTCACGCACCACAACTGACTCCTCATTGGCACAGTGTAAGCGTCCCACAAGGAAACCTTGTCTGAGGGCACTCCCCACTTGTGCTGCAGCATCCCCTTCTACATGTCACTAACACTGTTGTTTACTACTTACATGGCTTCAAAGGTGACTTCAAGGACAACTGCAGTTCAGCAAGCCAGTCAGGATTGTCCAACTTGTCTACCAGTACTGTATGACCACTTTCCTTCGTAAACTTCCCTACATACTCTTTTTTTTTTTTTTTTTTTTTTCCTTCCTTAAGAGAGTGTGTGCTTTCAAATTATGGCTGAATGGACTCATCAGGAAGTTTCAGGTTCAGAATATTTTCACCACTGATATAGAGAAATTACCACTTTCCTTGCAAATTATTTACTTATAGCAACGTATGATGATTTCTGAACGTCGTCTAAGAATTCTGCTTGTCCAGACTTGTTTTGTGGATTCACTGTGGTTTACCAGATAGTTTGGGGATTGGCTATGATAAGAAAGTAGCAGGTAGCCCGGGGGTATGAATTAAAAGGACAATTCATCGATAGCTGAAGCAAAGCCCTGAATGGGCACTTAGGCAAACTTGAACTTGAACAAAAGGACTCAGAGATGCTATCTATGGAGGATGATCTCGCTGATTTAAGAAGGAGACATCTGGACTTCGCTTGACAACACATTCCCTGGAGCCAGTGGACACTGTGAAGAAGATCAAGTACTTATCTCCTTGCATAATTATAATAATCACACCTATTCCCCGAACTAATTGTAATAACCCAGCCCTTCCTAATGAATATATTTGTTGTAAAGAATATTTGGCTGCTTGCCAGAGACGATGTGCAAGCTTTCTGCAGAAATCCCCTTGCACCCCGGCCGGAATAAACATGCCTGCTTTATAACTCTGAGTTGCAGAGTTTGTTTCTGCACGTCACCACTATAAAATTTCTAGCAGGTGAATATAATTTAGACGTCGTGTAGAATTTACAGTTTACTAACATGATGCCTTAAATCTCTTCCTCAGTTAAGGGACCCAAGGGAGCAAGAGTTCTTACAGTCATCATGAGAAGCTGAGGAGTAACTTCTTTCCTTTAGTAGGAAACTTTTAAAATCTGCATGGTGGGAATGTAAAGTGTTAGAAATTGCAGCAGTGCAGGTGACTTGCAACACTGCAGGTGACTAGTCTTGTCAGACTTGAATGCAGCGTATAAAGGAAAGCAGCTCTGAAATGAAGTGATGCATTGTTTGAGATCCTCTATGGCTATGCTGGGAGAAGAACCATTTTTTGTGCTAGAGGAGGTGATTGGTCTGCTCCCATGTGTTGACATGAGGGCAAAAGTGACTACTTAAAGGAGCTTGAGTGGGATGGTAGCTTTCCAGACACTAAGCTGGCGGCAGTGTGTTCATTTATATTTTTAATACCATCTGGATAGACTAGGGCACAGATCTCAAAAGGGCTTATAAGTAGACACTGCTTATACAGTAGTTGTATTTCTTGGGCAGTATTGGCATTGTCTAGTGTAGGAAACAGCTAAGTATAGCCTGTGTGAAGACAGAGTTCTCTAGAAGGTGATTCAGAATACAGAACTGAAGGACACACCCTTTTATTGATTATAGCATGTAGATGCCCTAAGTTATGCTGTGTGAATGTTTGCTTGGGCTTGCTCCCTCTTCCTTCCTCTGATTTCCATGGAGAGCTAGAAGATTGTCTAAAATTTCCTTTGAACTCTTGAAGTGAGACCACCATCTGTAAGCCTAACAAAGGGTGTAATATAACCCATGTGGAACAACTTGACTGCAAGAAAGAATAAAACCTAGTCACTTTTGGATGCATGTCTCTTGTCTGCAAACCAGAGACAGAATAAAAGGATCGAGAAAAACTAGCTGACCTATCAATGTGGGACTAAATGAAGAAGACAAAAGCTGGCCAATGCCACCATCTCCTGCTCTGCATATCTGATCGTCTTATTCAGTTGCTTACCTGGTGTTGAAGGAACATGTCTATCTTCTGTAAGAACATATTCCTGGGGGGGAAAATGAAGCTGAATGTTGTGGAAATATTTTTCTTTGATGTGATATATGGTGGAAAATTAAGTGTAATTAGATTAAATAAATGCATATTTAGCAGTGGTTCAAAACTGTGAACTTTAATCATAAAAGGCTTAAAGTATCTGATCAACTGCAAGCCTTAACTCATTAGTAGAGCTTGAGTTTACAGTATCTTTAATTGCAGCCAGCATAAAACATGATCTGTCAGGGAAGGATGGAAGCAGGTAACTAGAACCAGAAAACTTAGGTTGGGTGAATTCTCTACCAAATTTTCTTACCTTCATCTTACTTAAGTTCATTGTAATAAAAATGGATTTTTTCCCCAATAAAGTAAAAACCAAATATATCTGAAAATATTACAACCATTACGTGAGCTGCTCCTGTATTCCATTAAAGGTGTGACTGCATCTCCTGAAAGAATATCTGAGCTAGCACTAAATTACCAGTTTTGATAGCTGTAATGGTAAAGGTCAGGTTGTTGCAAAAATGCTACTTTAGAGATAGAGGAAGTATGGCTACAGCAACAAGTGTTGGGAGAATGGAGGAGAGGAAGCAGTGGGGGGACAGAGCAGTTACTTAGTTCAGTGTCAGTGCATGTTCAAGTCGGTTTATAGTGTTCCTCAGACTGGTAGAGGATTGCATATTATTGTTAATCAAAAATACTTTTTTTTTTTTTTTTAATCTGGGATCAGTTTTCTCCATATGTGGAATATGACAGAATTGGTTTGCCTCCTGAAAAAAAAAATGAAGCCTTCTGAATGATTTTCCATTTCCCTGCTGAGCTTTGACTCTCTTGATTAATTTCAGTCAAATTTCATACAAAGAAATAAGTCCTACAAGTTTTGTGAATACACTCATCTAAGGACAAAAGAGTGCCCCTGTTCATGGAAAGCTGCACTGTTAGCACACTCCTTACTAATGCTAGGCAGAGTGATAGAAAACTGTCAGTGCTGGGCCAGTGCTTCAAGCAGAGACTGGAGAGAATATAACTGCAGACACAAATCCATTTGAAACTATTCACCCAACAGCTTTTTTATATAATTCTGCTTGTGTACTCCTTTATGGGAAAGCAAGCATCTTGCTTGTAATCTTACAGCTGTCTTACACAAGAGAACTTAATTGGTAACAAAAATCACCAAGTGGGAAGATGCAATGAGTGGAGTTGCTAAGAACTGCAAGAGCTTTGTCTAGTGTTTCCTGCAGCAGGGCTGGGTGGAGAAGCATTAATGTATCAGTGTTTCTGATTGTAACTAATAACTAATTTTCTACACTGTAGAAAGGCAAATCAGGGTTCTCTTTCATAAAAGGAAATGGGTCTGAATAGATCTTCCATCACAACAGTAAATAACCAATGCCTATTTCAGAAATTAATAATTCAGGTGACCCCCTACAGATCCTGTTTGCAGTTTGCTGGTAGCAAAATGTGCTTTCACTTCTCAATGACACAAATAAAAACAATATCTTAATCATGTTTCATTGACACAAGGGGTTTATCAGATCTAAAATCAGATTTATGATTGCACTAAACTGACAACACCTTAAACCTCCTCTTGATTTAAAAACAAAAATGAAGAAGTTGTCCTTGCTACCCTTACAGAGGTCACTTGTATATTATGGAATGTTTCTTAACTATGTCCTTTGCATTAGTAAATTGACTTTATTGCTTTAACTCAAACGAAGGTGATTATTAGATTAAGCTTAGTACTTACTGCCTAATACCAATATCAGTTGCAAGGGAATTTATCATGTCTCCTTCACATTGTCGTTAAAGCAATTGCTGCTTTTTATCTCCACACATCTACTGCCAACAAGTCTCTATCTTATTTTTTCTCTTTTTATTGGACAGAAAAAAAAATCCTAGTGTAGAATGTACATACCTATATTGGCAATGTGCAGTAACCCAGCAACACCTTTGGCTGTCCTGGCTAATGGACTCTGTGTGTTGTTTTCAAAATGTTTTCTTTCTTCTTCCTCAGTGCCATCTCTCTCTTTGCTGGGGATTCTCTCCACCAAACAGGTAACAGCTGAACAGCCACTCCAGCTTTGGAAACCTCATTCCTTCCCAGTCGTAAAAGTCTATCCATTCTCCAAAAGGACTTGGCATACGCTTTGTGAAACCATTCGTAAGTATTGCTGGTCTTGTCATTACCTGGTTTATCAGCGAAAATCTTCTCTTTTTCCCTGTAATCTGCCTTGATTATTGTGGCAAAAGAATTTAGAATTTGCTGTTCATCTTTACTCATTCTGTAAGAGGAACCCACTTGAGCTAGCTGGTCAAGAAATAAAAGTGGAAGCTCTGCTGCAACTGTTTCTGCAGCTGTCACACCATGGGAGCCATCAACTAACCCCAAAAAACATGTATCTGACTTATTTCCATAGTTGTCAAGCACAATAAATCTGTCTTCCATGTCTCCCTGCCATGTGGAATTTTTATCTTGGCAAATTGATAATGCTTTTATTAAAGAATTAATTACTTTCTTAAAAGTACTAGGGTTGTTAATATTAGCAAAATCACAATATGATGTAGGACTGTGATTATCCACAAGGAATTCAAATGAATAATCAATCTTCTGACTATGTGTCTCAGTATATTTCGGTATCTTGGTCAATTTTGAAATTAGTTTTCATCTCTGAGATAAAAGTGTTTTGTTGTCAATCTTCATTTGTGGGCTATCAAAGCCCAGCAAAGTTAGGGCTTTGTGGGGTTTTTTATGACAAAGAAGGTGGTTCGGGTATATTGTTTGTTGACACACAGAGCAAAAAATTCTAATAGGCTTGGATTCAGCATTTCAGGTGTAGTCATGACCTTCTCCAGATGATCTTCCTCATCTCTGAAACATTCAAAATCAGGTGGGTTTGGTTTGTCTTGTGACTTTTCCTCCAATGTCATTCTCTAAAGGAGTTGAATATGTTAAGAGTGTTCATAGTTTCATATTTCAATATTTTAATATTAGGTAACACTACATTTACCTAAACCTTGTGCTCACTCTTATAAACTCTAAACTCTGAATTGCATCATCATATAGTAATGCATACTGTGGTCAAGAAATTGGGAAACCCATGTGAGACTATGTAAAAATTGTAACTAATAACTGTTAAAAATCTATTACAGCAAAGTCACAAAGTGAAAAGTTTGGAAATACAGAATTCATGACACAATTTATATTATTCTTGTATTCTTGTACCTAGTTACGGTCTCAGTTGTTTCCTCCTTGTGATTCAGTGCATAGCCCTGTACTTTCACACTGTTAGATCTGTAAGTATGAAGTAGTTCTTCATCAGCTCTTCTCTATCTATTCATCACTTTCCAGACATGGTAACGGGGTGCAATTCCTCTTCGAAAACCAAACCAAACCAAACCAAACCAACAATAAAACTAACCAACTAACAATAACCCCCCCCCCCCTCATATTTCAGATTAAGATTTAAAAAAAAAATACCATCTGCCAGTCTTGCATGGGAGATACAAAACAGGACCAGAAGCATTGGTATACCGCTTTAATCAAATCTGACTGCTTTCAGTTTTAGTTGTGAGGCCTTTAGAAGTTGACTGGAAAAAACTTTATACCATTGTATTTAGGCACACAAAAGTTAAATTATATTTATATGGACAATTTATTGTTTTTCTTGCTTATGAGAGCTAGATTTTGCAATGTTCATGTTCCTTTAATGTAGGATGGATTTTGAATGTGTCCGTTTCTAAATCAAGAAAGCATAATGAAGAACAAAAGTATTATGAAATGGGCCAAGCGCTGTTTGAGCTTTTAGGTCTCTGGGAAACACCCCTGCTTCTTGAGCCATGAGACCTGTGGGCAGCAGCACATACCCTCTGCATTCTTCAGCTTTCAGGGTGGAAGGAGACACACGCTTTGCAACGGAGCTCATGGAAGATCAGAAGAGCAACGAGGCTGAAAATGTGGAATCAAGGCCAGGTACTGCAAGGACATCATAGGGTCTAGTCAATGCAAGCACCTCTGCCTGTTCTCCAGCCAAAGCGAGTACCTTCCTCCTGTCCCCATGCACCTTCTTTCTCTCCCTTTGCAGCCCAGTCTCTTCTATCTCCTCATTCTTGTTCCTCGATTCTCTTCCCCTGAGTACCAGGACTGTTTGCACTCCTGCACATATGTTCTCTTGAATATCTACTTCCAAATACCACTCCTACTGCTAGTGATGGGGATGTGTGTGTATAAAGACACCTTTAGTCTTCTCCTGTTACTAGCAAAGGGAGTACTGAGAGCCAGGATGAAATACAGGACTATTCTTAGGTTTGGCACCTGGTGCTACAAACCCAAATCAGAGGTGGAGTAAGTCCTAGTGAGGCACTCCCTGCCAGAGGCCAGCTGGTGCAGAGGGGACAGCCTGAATTCAGCACCTACACACTGGCATGTCTAATCAGCACCAGCAAACTGATGCTGCTTTTTCTGATGCTGCTTTTTAAATATAGTAACTTGCTCCAATTTGGATAAATTTACAATGACAAAAGGTGCACCACTGATGCAGTCTCAGCCAAATTTCCAAAGCCTACTTTAAAACCTGACAATCTTAGAGCTTCTCTATAAAATAGTTATTAGAATTTTTGTTTAATCCCAGCAAAACCAACATATTTTTCAAATCATATTCTCAGAAGCATCTAAACTATACTGCCTGGAACTTCTAAAGAATCTGCTTGGAAAATTTCAGTAGGAATAGTTAATATCTGGCACAGTTTTAACCTACTGAAAACATGGGGCAACCCTATTGGTAGCAGCACTAATAATTCTCCCTATAATTTGAAATGGGTAAGAAAACGGGTATATAACATATGGAGGAAATGTCAATATTGCTTAAGCAGCGAACTGTACAAATGGCTGCTGTGTCCTATAAAGTGATGTGCAGCTAAGCCTTACAGCTGCTTGTGTAGCATCCTCTCCCCCTCAGATCAGCACATAATATACATGTACAGACACCATAATAACACAGTCCTGACACCATGAGAAGCTCACTTGCCAGCCTATACATCATCTGTCTATGAAGTATGTAAACATAGTGTTTGTTTTTCAAGTTAATTAAGTTTGTTTTGTTTATTTAGCATTTAGTATTTATGTGTGTATGGATGAGAAGCATCAGGCAAAAATGCATATATTATAGGATTTTATTGTATTCTCTACTCTGAGATTTCTGACTTTCAGTGACCATTGTTAACTGCTGTTAGTCTACCACCAGGGCAAACAGCAATGGTTTAGCAGCGATAATATCCCACAGCATTATTACAAGAGTAGCCTTTGGTAATTTCATCCTGCTTCAACCTCACCCATTTCCTGGAGCTCTTTAAACTTGATAAAGCCACACCTTAAAGTAACAATTTTGCAACTGTTATCTCTTTGAGGATTTCAGCTGGGAAGTAGATTTTCTTCTTTCTCATTATTTCTGTTCATCACCTCTGGGTTATAAGCATTTCCATGATTTGTTTTTCAAGGCATGCCTTTTTTTCCTGTGGTGACAGTTGTTTGACAAAACTTCTTCAGCTGTTTGAGAATTACAGGAGCATTAAAAGAGAAAGCCCCAACCTCTTCTAGCTCCAATTAATATATCTTGAAGAATCAAATGCCTCTGATCAGCTGAGCTAGACTTTCTTTTTAGAATTTTATAATTGATCGCTTCAGTAGAGAGTGATACCGCTTAAAAAACCGTTATGACACTGTAGTATACCTTGTCCTTGGAGAGGCGAGTTTGCAGGTGGCTACAGCTCTCAATCTGCTGTAGGGCCAGTTTATGGGAAAGTCCATCTCTCCATTAGAGGTGAGCATCAGCTTCCTTTAGAAACACTGTACCACTTTAGTGGGGAAAGATAAGGAGGCACATGATAAAATAGCAGGGAAATATATGCTTGCACATATACCTTTTCCTTTTCTACATAGTTTAAGATTGGGAGATCGCACAAGCCCTTTCACTGCTGTCACCGTGATGATGCATTCAGGCATGAGAAAAATTAGGACTAATACATACAGAAATGTATGGTAAACTGCTTTTTGTCACCCTTTTATATATGAACCCGTTTTTCATTTACTGTATACAGAAGCCCCTTGGATTAGAGATGGAAAATTGAAAACTTTCAACAAAATGTTAGTTTGACCTCAGTAAGCTTCATTTGTAACAAACATACTTTATAGATGTTTATATCTCTGCAAGTGGGTGTAAGTGCTAACACATCACAATTTCAGAGCACCAAAACTGTCCCACTTCATTACAGTGTGTAAATAACCAGAATAATACATGTAATAATTCATGTAGAACAACATATGCTACAACTCTTTGGTGGCAATCATTTAGCTCATAATTATTAAAAGGACAGCGCTGATGTTAATTTTTTATAGTATGCGTACACTGCTTATGTTAATAGCTGAAAAACTTGTAAAAGTGAAATTAAAACGGAAATGTTTCCTTTGTTGGTCTCTTATGAAGTAAAAAGATTAGTCTGTTTCCTTCTCTCCTTGCATTTCCCTCATCAGGAACAGACAGACTCCCAGGATTTTTGCTGTCAGGTTAAAGGATAACAGTGAGATCCTGACAGCATAATATGCGAAGCTAAAATGCACTCAGCGTCAGAAAGATAAAATTCAGCTTTCTAGCTCACTGCAGTTTCCCTGTGCCTATTTAGGGAGCCAAAACAGCCAGCACCGTTTAATGTTCTGAGCTGAAAATAGAAGCAGATATAAAAAATATAGAAGAGGTAGAAAAATGGGGAGTGAACCACAGTTTGAGACTACATGTTTTCAAGGGCAAAAATCATATTTACTGCTTGTGTTACAACGAAGAACCTCTTGGTCAGTCCTTAGTCAAGCTACTAGGAAAGGGTGCCTGCTTCATCTCTCCACCACACACACCCTGTGTGTAAGAGGCAGAACAGAGGCAGAGCACAAGACTGCAGGCCAGGGACTTTTATGGCAGAGGATACCATCACCCCAGTAACCCTCTCTACTTGTAGCACTTGGAGTTGCCTTGCTGTTTGTATTGCAAGGTGAGATTATTTTCTGTTTCTGCAGTTTGACACTACAATCTCATTTTATAATTACTAAAGATGTCACTAATTTGAGCTTCAAGGACCCAGGATCTGACTTGTATCCAAACAGAAGAGTTCCATATACAGTCATCTCCCTCTGACACATGTTCCTGTCTCCACCTGAAGTGTGCTTCTTCCTCACTTTCTTTTGTCACACTCAGCACTTAATTTACACAATCTCTAGTCTGAACTCATTCCTCTGAGAGATTTTTTTTTTTTTTTTTTTAATTTGCTACATACTGGCGTTCTTAGAAAATGGTGACAATTATGGGTCCTGAATCCAGCACTGAGCAGGCAGAGAAGTGCTGTGTGATATAAAATGGAGGTCACAGTCTCCCTGAGCTTCTCATCACAATATTATCAGCTAATACATATAAACAGGCTGCACTGCTGCAAATTCTTGCTGAATGAGCACTGGCTTCCTTGCCTGCTTCCCTGCTTTACTTTTAGCCATGCCTTTCCTCTGCTTGGTCCTTCCTCTCCCACGTGCCTATGATGCCATGATATGGCTTTGTTGCCTCCATACATTCAGCCCTGCTCCTCTCCTCCCGACTAATTTCCCTCCCTTCCACCTGTCACACAGTTTGGCAGCAGCACCTCCCCTGGAAAATTGTTCACAAATGTGTCATACCTGCGTGCAGAAACCATGATGGGCACTCAGCATCCCTGGGGCTGGCCCCTGCCAAGGAGCCACCATGGCTGGCCAGTGGGGCTGTAGCATTTGCCATGGTGCAACTTGGCAGTGCTGTGCAGTGCATGTCCTATGGCACAGCCTGAGCCAGGCAAGTGCTGTCACCTCTGCAGGGGCTGCCTTACCTGGTCCCAATTTTACATGATCACCTTTGGCCCAAGCAGCAAAGAGCCTATCTCTTATGCAAAAAACCTTATTCAGCCTTTATTAAATGCATATAAGACCTCTGAAAAGCTCTCCACCTGACAAACTCATTTGATAACCCAGCAGCCATGCCCTACACCTTCCACCCCTTTTAGCAGGTGTGTGTAGAACCCTACTTACTGTATCCCCAGAAGCAACAACGCAGCTTCAAGGAAGCCTTGTTATGAAAGATATGGGAAGAGATAAAGACGAACCTGGTGAGTCACAGGAGCATGTGGAGGGCAGAGCCTGCCTTTGGGTATTAGGAACACTCCTTCCCCTAGACCTGATAACAGGCAAGAAAGAAGGAAGTGATTAATAATTTAAATAATTATGGAATAAATTAAGATAATTACTATCCTTATTTATCTTCTTAAGCGTTGCCCAAAACTGGAATCCTGGGATTCCAGGCCAACTGGTTTTATGTCATCCTATAAAGTGGAATGAGTCCCCATCATTAGGCCGTCTTGGGTGACACCATCTGCTTGGGCAGAGGTGCAGCTCCTCAGATGGGACAAAGTAGCGAACTGGGAAATGGGAGTAGCAAAAAAATGGCAAAACCAGCTCTTTCTACACTCCAGATATTTTTCACCTGTTGTGGGTGGCTGGGCCTATCTTGGTGGGGCAGAGGCAGCAGTTTGTTATTCACTGAGTACCTGAGTAGGTTAGAGGTTGCAAAGCATCAACTGGGGATGGTAAACCTGCTGGGTTCAGCATGGGAGGGAAAGCACATGAGGTTTTAGGGATCCACAAGGAGAAAGCAGTGGCAGAAGATGGGTGAAGATAACTCTGCCTCCTGCACTTTCCTCCCAGTGACACCCAGCCTCCCTCACCCCAAAAACTCACATCTGGGGTTACTGCTATATTCATGGAGTCCATCTATTTTTTCCAGCCATACAAAACACAGTTATAGTTGGTCTAAATTGAGGTTTTTGACCGGTTTAGCATCTGTGTTTTAACTGAAGTGCTTGTGGTTTTGTCCATAGCTCTTAAGATTTCCAGGTGCTTTCCCACACAGGTATGGGGAAGACCCAGGAGTGAGCTTGCACGGCCAGATATGCGTAGGCCAGCATAACGTCATTTTACAGAAATAAAAAGGATTTTCTATGCAGCGTTTTGTTATCTAAGTCAGTGTCATATCAAGGGTGCAGGCAGGAGAAATGAGGCTGCTTCCTTCCCACCCTCTGGCTGTGCCAGTTGCTGGGGGCCTGTAAGGCTGCCAGCACCAATGGACCTGCCCTACATGGGGATGGGGTGGTTAGGAAAACTGTCAAAGAAGAGACAGTCAAAGTACACTGAATAGGGTCCCGTGGAATCATGGGGATCTCTGCCACATGTTAAGTAGCAGGAAGAAAAGAAAAAGATGTTAGAGAAAAGAATAAACAAAACCAAAAACCAGCAACCACAAAACCAACCACCACCACCACCACCACAAAAAAACCCAACCAACAACAAACTTGTGGGGAGGCAGAAGAAAGAAAAGGTAGGATAAAATAAGGTAGCATATCCCATGTTTGCATGAAGCAAGGTCTCACTACCATGAAATAACACAGTGTAAGCCTATGTAGTGACTGTAGAAGGCTAAATAACTTTAACAAGCACCTTCTGAACTTGGCACACACACTTCACATTGTACTGGCAAAGGCACTAAAGGTCCTGTGCTGCGTGAGCCCAGCCTTTAGTTTTCTCACTTGTTTTTTGTTAAATCAAAACTCTGACTGAAGTCAAGAAGAGCATCCTCTGGGTAAGAAGTGAATAAAAACTGCTAAGTGCTCCATCACTAACAAAAAGTTTGTGTTACTAAAACAGCCATGAACCTTTCAATGACATTTTCTCTATTTTTTTTTTTTTTTTACACATTTTTTCCTTTAAACAACTGGGTAATGGAGGTGTGAGGTTTCCTATAACAGACAAAGGCCTAGTGGGAAGGTCTGCCATCTCCATTATAAAATGTAAGCACCATGGGAAGCTGACAGGATGCTAGAAACAACATCTTTTTTGTACTGTTAATACTTTCAGTGATTCATAAAATATTGATAGCAGTCCTGAATGTGTGGTGGCCAAGAGGGAGGCCACTTCACCCATAAGGAATGCACTAATGAAAGGACACAATAGGATTTTATACTTGGAGAAATTCCCTGGAGGGCCAAGAGCTCCTTTTTTCACATTTGCATTGAATAGCAAGAATAAAAACAGGTGGAAGAGCAGGAAGAAAGTCCCATCTTGAACAAAAGGAGAGGGAGAGAGGGCTGGGTTGGGCACTCTGGCTCTGACTAGGCTGGGATATGGGGATGAGGGGTAGGGGTGGGCTCCCAGAGCTCGGCTGCGGGCTGGGAGGTCCCTCTCAGAGAGGCAGCATTCAGCAGTAGGCTGCTATTAGTTGAGTCATTCTTTAATTTACGTGACCGAGATAGGCCTCAAGAGCCCTAAATGACAGCTAGGCGTCAGGCACACCCTAAACTGCATTTTAATTTCCTCTTTTGTGACTCAAGAATGCAACTGCATCCTTTGCTGGAATAACGCGCCCGCTCTTGCATTTAAGCCTGTTGGGTGTTCACAGTGAATTCGGGCGAGAGCAACAAACGTGAGATGAAAGATGGTCTCCTGGGAGCACCACCTCTGAGCAAGCACCTCCTCGGGGCTGTCAGCAGCCTGGGAGAGACCTGAGAATCACAGGAGCTGGCACTCCTGTCTCACCTAGCTCCTGGCTTGCTTAATTTGATGCGGATGAACAGTCTTCCCAAAGTCACCCGGCTGCTCACCTGAGTTTGTGAGCTGAGCAGCACAGGCAGGCAGCAGGCATCTAGGCTCCCTCGGCTCCCACCAGCGCTCACTAAACGTGGGTTTTGGAGTCAGTTCGACTTGTGCAAACACATTGACATGCCCCGAAGGACAGAAACTGAAAAATGTGGCAAGGGTTGTTCAGGCAATGCATTGAGTTTGAATCTCATTTAATGATGAAAAATAATCACGAGTGGTTCAGTTGTGTTCAGTTATGCATGCATTACAATTAGAAAATTAGTATGTACTTGCTCGTAAATTCAGCTGACAGAAAAAGTCAGATTGGATATAGAAATTGAGACTAATATATATACACTCATATGTCAAAGCACAAATTTTCTGTTTTTTTTTTCTTAATATAGTGTAACCTGTCCTGGCCAAATTACATTCACTGAAGCCACCACAAGTCAACACAGCCCAAGTTAGAGTTCCATGTTTCCAGCCAGCAAACGGTCTTCTCATTCCTTATTTTTGTTAAAATTGTGACTGTAATATTTAGCCTGTCATTGGAGCAACTGTTCTTGACAGAGACAAGCTTTTTTCTTTTTGTTTTAAACAATAAATTTGCACAAAGTTAGAATGACAGCAATTACTTAAATCAGGCTTAAATTTAAAAAATAAAAAATATATTTACCTATTTGCAGTTAAAGAGTGTTTTCTTTCTAAGCTTGCTCCTCTGCAGTACCAGGCTGGAGTTCTGCATGTGTAGTCAAATTAGTGTTTATAAATGTTCCTATAGTAACTGTATCCGTAGCCACAGGCTGGTAGACTTACTGTTCTGGTTATCTAGTGAGCAGTAAGGTAAAAAAGGAAAAAAGAGACATAGTATTGTAAGACAACCATGCTCTTGAGGATTCAAGAAGGAACTGCAGTAAAAGTATATTTTGCCATTAGACTAACCAGTGCCTTACTGTATGCAACACAGCAGTGTTTTTCCCATTAGACACTCTAAAATACACAATGAAATGTAAACAAATATTCAGGCATTTAACCAGTCAATATCTGCTTCTTAACAACTTTCATCTTTGATTTCAATTTAATGGAAATAAAAACTTTTCAGGCTTTTAAGGACGTTGAAGAATAGGGTGAAAGAATAAGGTCATCTGTGTAGGCTGTGATCCCGTGAACACTCGCCTGTGCAGCTTCAGACATAAATGCATGCTGAGTGGCCTTAATAAGCATCAGTGGAGTTACTCCCCTGTGTGAAAATAGTAAACGTATTTTCAGAATTGAAACTTGTAATTCATTTATATGCGGGTGTGCAAACTTAATGCTGGATTAAATATCATAACCTTACAATTTAAAGGAGAAGCTGGTGATTTGGGGGGAAAAAAAAAAAAAAGAAAAAAAAGGAAAAAAAGGAAAACATATTGTGGGATGTAAAGGCTCCCACAATAACTAGGAGTTTATTTGCAGGCATGGACATTAAGTGGTCCATAGCAGCCAATATGTTCCAGATGCGCTCTTCGCTTTTGCTACCGAGGAAGAGCAGTGGGAAAGCTGAAAGTGAAACTAAGTAATAACAGTTTCATTTTCAAATCCGAGAGGAAAGTAAAAACCTAACCGGCGTAAAAAAAAAAAATGCAAGCAGAGGTTCTTGGGTGGCTGTTACCATACAGCGGCTATTTGTTATTGTAAAACATTATTCAAGCAATTAACCCCCCCCCCCCC